TCTTTGCAGAGGCGGCATTTGCTGTCTGTTTCTGTCTTCTCAATTTTTGCTTTATATGCATTTGTTTTTAAGGCTTTGGTTTGTGCAGCCAGAATTAGCCCCTCTGTCTCTTTCTTCAGCTTTCCTGCTCTTAGCCATTGCCAGGTCTTCTTGTTGCCTGCCAGTTTTGTGTGTGTGTGTGTGTGTGTGTATGTACTGGCCATGTAATACTTTGCTTTGCCATGTCTCTGTTCTATTCTTCATTTGGTCTTTCCTATAGGCCAGTTTGGTCTCTTTGGTATTCAGTAAGCCTTCATAGTATACTAGTTTCAGTGCATCTTCTTCACTGTCCTTCAGATATTCTTCAATGCCCTTTTTTTTTTCTTCAACTGTCTAGCATATTGTAACATTTCATGCCCACCTATGTACGTAGAGTCTGTCAACACTGCTGCGTGGATGAAGGGCATGATTCATTGTCATGATTTTTCTGGTCTTCCTATCCAGGGCTTTTAGTTCAGCTTCAGTCCCATCCACTATTCCAGCTGTATAGCTAATGACTGGAATTGTCCAGGTGTTAATCACCTTGATGGTATTTCTGCCACTGAGTTTGAACGTTAAGATCTTCTTCATTCTTCTGATGTATTCACTACTAACCTTCTTCTTGACTTCAGTATGCTTGATGTTGTCAGCCCGAAGGATGCCCAGGTATTTGTAGTGATCTCCTTCATCCACATTCTTGATGTTATTTCCATTGGGCATATTGATTCCTTCAGTTTTCACTATCTTTCCCTTGTTGATAGTAAGGGTGGCATATTTGTTCAATCCAAACTCCATTGCAATATCTTGGCTGTATTATTATGGTTGGTCGCACAGTCAACCAGATGTTTAGACTGGAGTTGGCATTTTTATCCACCTATCGAGTCCTTCCTAAGGACCTGGGATATGCAGATGTTGTTTGATGGTTTGATGGTGTTAAAGGTATCGTTGCAGGATATAAGCTGTTCCAAATAAAGCTGCCTTTTGCAATTAATATTATTATTATAGATTGTAAGACATTTGTGGGCAAAAGATTAGCATTTGGTAAAGTAGAATAAGTAAGCTGTTAATCCATGGGATACAGTTCATGCTGGGTGGAAACTGTAATTATTAGAGCTGAAGCTGAAATCCAACATATCCAACAGGTGAATAAAAATTGTATTTCTAGATTCAGTATTTGTAAACCATTTGCAATAGATTCACCAACATGAAATAAAGTTTCATAGAAGAAAAAATCTCTATGATTAATGTAAATACATAGATCTCATAAATTTACATAGATTTCATAAATTCCTAATACTTTTTCCCTAATCAATCTTGTAGCAACAGATAAACACACTGATTACTGATGCCAGGGAAAGCAGCTTGTGTTTCAAAAGAGTGCATGGAGTGGGAGAAACTTCTGTTGCATTAGATTAACTTTTTTAAGATTCCAGTTTTTGTATTTTTAGTACATATTCAACTGGTAGTATCAACTAATTCACGCAGGGGAAAAATGGAGCATCTTGTATAAGAAAACAAGCAAAACCAAAAGGAAATCAAGCAGCAATGAAAATGTAGCAATTGTTTCCCTGACAGGATGCTGAAACAACTACATTCATGATTTGTGCCAATGATGGAATCTCCAGCATTGATCACAGCAGTTTAGGAATCTCTGTTAGTCTTCAGTTAAAAATAGACAAGGCAAAAGAGGCAGACGTTGAGTGGGTTTAACTTGGTATGCAAAACCTCAGATTGCCAATGCATATCCTGAAGGAATTTCCTTGGTGTCCTTTAGAAGCACAGCTTTGTAAATAATCAGACATGGGCTTGTGTATCCATAATATTTAGAATGCAATTGTTATATTGGAAAGGAGACAGCTTTGTTAACTGTATCTAATTAGAAGTATATACCACCATACTTTTGTGATGTTTTCTGCTTTATTACCATTTCAGATCTGAAAGGGAAATATCATCATTTCTCTAGCACCCTTCTTATCTGACAAACCATAATTCATTGTTTCCATCTTCTGTTGATCTATCCCTATCGATGAAAATAGT